GACGTTGTAAAACAAGCCAATTCACTTCGTGAACTCGGCAACCAGGTTACGTTCTTTTTTTTTCCTCAGTTTTTTTATTTGGCGGTAACCACAATGGTGGTGGAGTAGATCATGTTGTGCGGGGTGGAGAACCCTCACTCCGCGCAAGGGGGATGATCGCACCACGTTGTGTTCAAATGGTCAAGCACCCTCGAGGCAGTTACACTGTGCTAACAACTGTCTCAGGAAGTGAAAGCACCAGAAAATACATTAAGTCATACGCAGCTGTCATCCGTACGCAAGGAAGTAAGCACAAGATGCCGAACACCCTTAGCAGGATGCAGCGCACCCTTCATGCGACTCGCCGAATACCTCACGGTGCTTCGCGCTTGGTGATGTGAGAGCCTGGTCCGGTGAGAACCCGGCGTGCTCCGTCCCGGCTTTGTAGGGATGCGAGGTCAATGGTCTAACGACTACGGCATGCACGACTATGAGTATGAGTATACCCCCCCCCCGTCCACCTCCCTGCACAACTGGGTAGGAAAATACAGGGGAGCAAACGCGCGCGCTGTTCGTCCGTCTGATATCTCGTACCCCGGGGTCGTCTTCAGACCACACGATCTTTTGGTACGACGTGGAGATCTGACGTGCAATAATGCCGGGCACGACGTCCCCAAACCCAATCCCAAGGAACGATTTATGTATATATAGACTAAATATATTATTTTTCTCCCATCATTGGACTCTGTCGTCTGCCCCTTTGGCCCCTATCCTCCACGTCTACTAGCTAGACGACCCAACCGGCGTCACACAGCAGGGGGGGGTTGGACCCCCTCTTGCGGTTCCTGCCTGAGGTATTTTTATCGCGAGAAGGGTACAGCAATCCCTTCCCTCGCAAATTACGAAGTCGATTATGGATTACTAACAACAAGCTTTGCAGCGCGTCGCTTTCATTCAAGGCCATAATTTATTTAGTGAGAAAAAACTCACTCTGCCGGGACTCGAACCCATGACCTGGCCCGTAGCAGGCTGCGAGGGTACCCACTAGACCACCGGGGCGACCGGTATGTACCTGCCTGAAAAAGGAACCAGATCTCAGTTCCAGGCGTCGGTTACGAGATCCGCAACACCATCACTTAGGGTTAGGGTTAGGGTTAGGGATAAATGGCCTTCACCACCACCGTACACATCACTAGAAGCCTACGATGCGTGGATCGCCTGTCGCGGTCAAGGCTGGCGATATGCCTGCCCTGTTCCTCGGTTCGTGACCCTAACGACACCGTCACTGCTCCTTGACTGACCTCGTCCTTCTTTTCTCCATCACCTTCCTCGCCCTCCAAGTCGCCCGAGGTGGAAGGGTGCCGTCCGTCTCGCCCTTCGGTCTGCCATACCCAGGGCTCTCCGGGATGCTCGGTCTCTGATGCGATGATCTCGGGATACCGTGCCATGTTCGTCATGCTTTGGTATAACCCAACCAAGGCCGGAGGAAACGCGGTTGGTATATTCTCTCTGGGTGGCTTCATTTTCATGTTCAACTCATCGGCGTAGCGATGCTTCTCGCGCGTCCCGGGGGTGTTCTTCAGGGCAGGATCACTCTCCACGTCGGCTCGAACAATTGCACCAGANATCATTGGACTCTGTCGTCTGCCCCTTTGGCCCCTATCCTCCACGTCTACTAGCTAGACGACCCAACCGGCGTCACACAGCAGGGGGGGGTTGGACCCCCTCTTGCGGTTCCTGCCTGAGGTATTTTTATCGCGAGAAGGGTACAGCAATCCCTTCCCTCGCAAATTACGAAGTCGATTATGGATTACTAACAACAAGCTTTGCAGCGCGTCGCTTTCATTCAAGGCCATAATTTATTTAGTGAGAAAAAACTCACTCTGCCGGGACTCGAACCCATGACCTGGCCCGTAGCAGGCTGCGAGGGTACCCACTAGACCACCGGGGCGACCGGTATGTACCTGCCTGAAAAAGGAACCAGATCTCAGTTCCAGGCGTCGGTTACGAGATCCGCAACACCATCACTTAGGGTTAGGGTTAGGGTTAGGGATAAATGGCCTTCACCACCACCGTACACATCACTAGAAGCCTACGATGCGTGGATCGCCTGTCGCGGTCAAGGCTGGCGATATGCCTGCCCTGTTCCTCGGTTCGTGACCCTAACGACACCGTCACTGCTCCTTGACTGACCTCGTCCTTCTTTTCTCCATCACCTTCCTCGCCCTCCAAGTCGCCCGAGGTGGAAGGGTGCCGTCCGTCTCGCCCTTCGGTCTGCCATACCCAGGGCTCTCCGGGATGCTCGGTCTCTGATGCGATGATCTCGGGATACCGTGCCATGTTCGTCATGCTTTGGTATAACCCAACCAAGGCCGGAGGAAACGCGGTTGGTATATTCTCTCTGGGTGGCTTCATTTTCATGTTNGTCCTTCTTTTCTCCATCACCTTCCTCGCCCTCCAAGTCGCCCGAGGTGGAAGGGTGCCGTCCGTCTCGCCCTTCGGTCTGCCATACCCAGGGCTCTCCGGGATGCTCGGTCTCTGATGCGATGATCTCGGGATACCGTGCCATGTTCGTCATGCTTTGGTATAACCCAACCAAGGCCGGAGGAAACGCGGTTGGTATATTCTCTCTGGGTGGCTTCATTTTCATGTTCAACTCATCGGCGTAGCGATGCTTCTCGCGCGTCCCGGGGGTGTTCTTCAGGGCAGGATCACTCTCCACGTCGGCTCGAACAATTGCACCAGATGCCCGCACGAC